TTTATTCAGATATATGTATATCATAATCTTTTTTTTAAGAATGGAGAAAATAACTATCTAATAAGTATCTAATATGAACTTTCTTATTCGTATAAAGCGTATTAAATAAATTGTTATCTATGGTAAAGTATAATGCGCATCAAATTACGATATATTTCGTTTTTTAAAAAGTTTATTTATGTAAGGCGTCTTAATAGTAATATAAAAAGGTACATTTTTTCATTTATTTTTTATGACAAAAATAAAGGTGCATATCGTTATTGGAATAAGTACATATAATATTATGCCGATAAATTAGAGTACAACTAATCGCGTATATAAAACATGAATTTTAATAACTTAGACAAGATATTCTCACTATGGAGAGGTAAGATAATAAGAGAACTCGTGAGATCAAGAATATTTAAAAAAAAATAAATGTATGTCGAAATAAATCTGCGCAAAACGCAAGTAGCACTTTCGGCTCATTTAAACAACAATCCATTTTTTTACAATATATTTGTACTAGGCAACACTTTGGCTGTGCTCACCTTTCCATATTGAGAGAAGTTCTTTCTTCCTTAATAGCATGGTATGCTTAGACTTACAAATATACTTGTTATTATTAACGTTTTTTTCTTTTTTCCTATAATCGACGAATAAAGATCAAGTAATAATTATATCATTTTATGAAGCCATCACGTAACAGTCGATGTGTTTATATAAATGGCCAAACGAAATATCATGAGCTTAAATTACATTACATCACAATCGCAGTATTATAATAATTATATTCATAAACATCATTATTAAATCATGTCATTTTCTCATATAGCTATAAAAATGACAGAATTAAAATTTTTAATTTTAAATAAATCATACAAGGTATTCAATACAGATATTAAAAAGCACAAAATTTTATCTAATATTCTCAATGCTAACTTTGTTATATATATTTTTATACAATTTCTGTATACACTTTTATGATAATTAATCATGAATATAAAAATAGTATCATAATATCGAAATTTATTTGTAAGATTATAAAAAAGCCAATAAATCGTTTGATAACAAACAAGAATATATAAGTTGTTTCAGAATGATATATAATATATATTAACAAGATACATCATATACAATTTGATATATATATGTATATACATATACACACAATATATATACATATAGTATATATCAGTTTTTCTTGCTAAAAATTGAAATTTTCTTAATGAAAATGTGTGAAACAAAATTATACTTAATATCAATTTCCACATTTAAAAAAAAAATATATACATATATCGATTCTGAAACATTTTTATTAAACAAAATTAACAAGTTACTAAGTAACAATTAATTATTGCGAAAATATGAGCACGGAATTATTGTTGTATATGTACAGATTAATATACATATATATTATAGTAATATATACACATTGACGAACGTGCTGTTGTTTCATCAATAAACTTTAATTTTGCGAAAATATGCATCACTATGTTCTGTATCAGAAATGGTTAGTACAAGAAGCGTTTTTAACTTATTTACGTACTCTATTTCTCTTCTCTGACTAATTTTGATTTAGCCCTAGGACCAGTTAGAAACTAAACAAATTTCAACATCGTTTCATCTACAAGATCGAATGAAAGCAATAATATAACATAGCATTGTAAGATACTCTTCTGGAATATTAAGAATGTCATAAATAATTATAAAACAAACAATTATGTTTGTTATTTTAGAAATTTAAATATATTTGTATTTATAAGGCCAAGTCGGTGAATTTATACGAAATCATGTGGTAAATTATAAAATTTTCAATTTTGTAAATATCAATTGGTTAATAACCGTTGTTATTATATCTAATACCTAATAATAAACCATATCGATATAACGTAAATATATATATGTTAGAGTTAAATAAAGTGCTTATTCATACAAACTTTGTTATCTTCAACTGAATTAAACATGTCAAACTTTGATTATTTTAGCAAATATATATATACACACCATTCAATAACATAAATACATTGCTCGGTACATCGAAATATTTTATAATATACATTATATTTTTTTTACACACACGAGCAGTACCAAAATCTAGAAAATAGGTCGACAGTACCCCTCATAGAATAAAAAAACAATAAATAATTTTTTATATGTTTATTATAAAACAGTGAATAAAAGTTGCATTTAATTTCAGTAGGTATATAAAATTTTTTTAAGATAATTTATACAACATACATGTTTTTATGTAGTGAAAAGTTTGTATAATTCTGAGCATCTTACAAATTACAATATATGATCAACAATCATTTTCATTTTTTGTGCAAGATACTGCAACGATACATCTATAGACTGTCCTAGGGTTAAATGAATTTTTAATTGACATAATCGTTTTGCCGTTTCTGAAGCCTGCTCAGATTTAGATATGTAGAGAGAATGTGTACCGAACAATAGTGAAGCGCGCATGCGCGCGCGTAAAGAGATTATTTAATAAATTACAAGAGAATATATTTATACTCATTCATAGGTAATCGATATGATTTGAGCCTAATTATTTAATTTTAGATTCTTTTTTTAGGTATCCAAATAACAGGTAATATTCTTAGTTCCAGCAGTCTTCATACGCGTCTCTGCTTACAGAATTGACAACAAAAGCTAACAATAATGATAACACATTATGCAAGTACACGAAGGTTAAAAAGTGGAGCCTTTTGAAAGAGTGCGGAAAAAATAACGAGGCTAGCGTTCGCTAAAATCACTTTTTTCCCCATCTACTGCTCATTGTTAAATGTACGAAAATCTATTCTTTCATTTTATTCATTAATGTTAATTATACATTGTCGTCGTATTATGTCAGAATCATTCTCCGTTTGAAGTGCAAAGCATAGATTGAAATATGTATGAATATATACATACTTCGTACTTTTTTCTCTTAAAAGCTGCTTCACACTGAGATATATACGACAAAGTTAGTGGTACGAAGTGTCGTTAGATCTGTAGCAAAATAAATACAAACGAAATTCTCTTAAACTAGTAAATACTACAGTATCTTTGTATTGTGTACACTTTAACTAGCCAGTGCATTTTTTTGTGTATATCCTGACTCTCTGATTAACCTTCCTGTCTATGTAGCACACCTTACCACGCATTCTAAGGCATGAACTTCCTAGTGAGCTGGATAAGAGAGAGCATAGACCAGTGTGCCAGGTACTTATGTGTTAACATTCTTTTTTTTCTTCACTGTTGTATAGCTAGATATACATTACATTATTAGAAAGTATATTACTATCGTATTTAAAAAACCGTTCCTTCTGCTCTTGACTTTACACTCTCAAGATTCTTATTTTCCTCAGACAGTAACTATAAAAATCGTTTGCAAAAACTTTTCGTATTAGAAAGCAAAAAATAAACTTAAATTTCCTGTGGCTATGTCTGCGTATACTAAACAATAATTTAATCCATCCCACGAATAACTTTCAACTTCTACCTCTCTCATATTTGTATTTTATGTAACAATCTTTACTAGTTTTTAAATTTCTATTAACAATGCGAGAAGTGTCTTCGATGACAATTAAAGCAAATTTTCTTTTTTACCTGTGTGTAAATTGCTAATTATTTAATATAACATAAAGGTTGATAGTCAGACTGCGTTTGAGCAAATATTTTACATACTGAAATTGATTTTAATATATCGATTCCTTTCTAAAGTTATTCGTGTGAACGGTTTAATCAGGATTTCGATATTACAACACGCACACTTGTATAAGACGTAGGTTTTATGTTTTTAGCATAATTATCCACGTTTATACAAAACACGCACACTTAACTTCCGCGCCAGATTAGGGAGCTGTTTTTATTCATCTGATACCATAGCGAAAGCACATGTCGTGAATCAATGTTTAGTATTATCACTCATCATTTCTATCTTGATAAGTATTCATTCTTATATCTCGTTCCATCATACATTCATCGATCTGTTATATGTTGTGTTGGTTGTACATATTCAGATTACAATGTAATATAAAATATGACAAATAAAAACATTGTAATCATATAGTATTGTCACAAGATAGAATAGAAGAGAATAAAACATCAATTCCAAATAAAGTATGAAATACTCCAAAATATTAAATTCAATTTCAATAATATATTTCAAAATGTGAAATTTGCTTAATTCTATTCGTCAAAAATAGATTCATAAACTTATTATATATATTTATATGCAGCTCCAAACAAATTTTCACGACACTCGATTGCTCGTATTAAAAACAATCGTTTTCGTAAAGCCGTTTCCGTAAAATAAAGAAACACACGCACGCATACATACACACAGAGGGATACATTATTTTTTAGCTCCTTGTACAATAATAGTTTGAGAATATTTTTAGCATACAAAAAAGTAATAATACAAAACGATACAAAATTCTAACAAGTGATTCATCTCTATCACTATGTAATTGAATTACTTCAAGCAATGAAGATCTAATAAACATCAGAGACAAGCAGCAACGTATACATATATACATATGCGTACATATGCATATATATACAGGGTGTTTGAAATTAACCGCCAAATATTTCATGTGTGGGTAGAACAGACTATACTGAGTCGAAAAGTCCTGTACCATTTTGTGATTGCAGTAATAGTTAACGAGATATTAATTTATAAAAATATTTAAATTCGCCCGGCCCATCGTCAAATGCAAACGCGCGGCTGGATAGGACCGCCCAGCGAAACGCGCCGCGCGCGTTCGCCGTTGCTAGGCGTTGTTTATAACAAGCGTTGTTTATAACAAGCGGCAATAGTCGTCGCTAGACATGAGTCGCGTGCCTAGCGACGGCGAACGTGAACGCGCGCGGCGCGCTTTGCAGGGCGGTCCTATCCAGCCGCGCGCTTGCATTTGACGGTGGGCCGGGCGAATTTAAATATCTTTATAAATTAATATCTCGTTAACTATTACTGTATTCGCAAAATGGTACAGGACTTTTCGACTTAGTATAGTCTGTTCTACCCACACATAAAATATTTGGCGGTTAATTTCAAACACCCTGTATATATATATTGTGAACACGTGCTCTTTTCTTTGTATCCGTAGAATTTTGTTCATTCCAACAATGAAATTTAATACCTTTTCTCATCTTGAATATTTATTCGTGTATACAAAACTAAAGTCGTTTAGCACATTTTAGCACTAAATTTAGAATACACAATTTCATTAGTCTTTTTTCCCTGTAGAACACAATGTTCATTTCTAAACTTTTTGTCGTTTCTTTTCTTTTTGTTTTTTTTTTTTAGTTATCACAAATTATTGTTCCTCGTATTTATTATTGTTTCAATCATTAGAACGGAGCTCAAATGTCTTCTAATACTTCTTTTTTTATCGATGCAACTTCCTTTTAATTACACAATTCACAAGTCCGCACGATATTCGCACGGGGCGCACTGGGGACAGGCTGTTCTTTTTGTTTTGTTCGGTAACTTTTCTTTGTCGTTATATGCTTTTATCTCGAAGTAAATCACTTTCTACCCACAAGATCGTTAAAAAAAAATATATATATGTATATATACTAATCGAGCTTATAAGTGTAACACCGCAAGGTAAAGAGTGGGACTATGGATTTGGAGGAGGTGTGGTCGGTGTTGTATGCGCGGAGGGTGATGCACTGGCGACCATTGTCGGACTGGCCGGCTGTTGCAATGGCAGGAACGCTGATCCCAAGCTGGGTTTCAACTGGAATGCTGGAACGCACGGCTTTGGGCAATAGTCTAGTTTGCTCAAATCTATCATGGGCCGCCTACATACGGAAACGTGAAAAAAAATCGTTATTTATAGCGCAAAATAATACTGTAGACCGTAGGGAAGAATGAGCTCTATTGTTACCTCGCATCTTCCACAAATTTGAGGTTGACTTTCTCACAGCCATCGGGCGGTTCCCTCGCAAGGAACCTGTTAATGTGAGGAGAAGTGCCGAGACGTCCTTCTCTATCTTGTTCAGGTGTTGAACCACGGCTTCCACCTAAAAATCAAAGAAGAAAGTTAAAATGTCATCGCAAAGAACAAGATTCACAGAACATGTTTTTTATATTAATTGAAATATGAAACAAAAATTCATGCCACTCACTATCTTAGTACAGGGTTGCCACAAATTTTTCATCCTAAAATTTCCTGACATTTCCCTGATTTTACTGACAAAATTTTGTAATTTTCCCTGACTTTCAATAATAAATATTTTGAAATATTTTTTGTATTTTCATCCTAATTTGAAAATTGTTAAATATTTTGTTGATCGAGTAAAAAGGCCCAATTTACGTTGGGGCCATCCATAGATACTTATAACAAATTCTGTAAACTTAAATCTTTTAGTTTCTTCCTTAAAAGCTCTTAATAAATCTTTAGCACGAGCATGGCCAAGAAAAGCAGAAGAAAAATAGTGTGTTTCTACTTGATTACTATCATTATTCCAGAATCTCAAAGCAATATCCATTTGTTGAGTTTGTGTCATTTTATTTAAGCTTTCATCAAAAGAAACTACAAATGGACCACAGTTACGAACAGCGTCAACAACTTTCCTACTAAAATAGGATGCCAGACCAAAAACTATCCCATATGATAGCTTTGTACGAGCTAAATATTATATTAATGCGAACAGGCTAATGATGTTTTCATTTAATTTAAAAAATCTCAGGGCAAACAAATCAGCAACACATCACATAACTTATCATCAAACGATTATCAGTTTACCTTTGGTATGGATTTCCTTTCTTCAAAACAGGAGAAACGTTAGAGCTCAATGGTCAAGCACTATACGCATGCATTATCTTTACAACACAAATAATAATTTAAAAAATGAGAAAAAATTTCCTAACATACGAAAGGTCTAACAGCAAAAGTAACGTCGTCCAAATAAATTGCAAGTCAAAACAAAATATACACGCACAAGACAATAGTGCTCTAGCGCTACAAGATCACGGCAAATCATAAAGCGAAAGAATTATCGACCGAATTGGCTTGAAGAACAAAGCGAAATAATTTTAACGATTGTGGCGTTGTGATATAAATAAATTTCTTTACAGCTATTTTATGTTTCCCGAAAAATGCGCTGAAATCCCTGACTTTCCCTGATTTACTGACGCATTTTTCAAATGCCCTGACATTTCCCTGATTTCCCTGACTTGTGGCAATCCTGTAGTAATAATTGCTTGTTCATATACATAAAGAGTAGGTATAGATTTATGCAAAAGAGGTCATCTTTGCATGTTTATTTTGTAACAAAACTGAACAAATAAATGTATAAACACAAATCATATTTTCACATGCTAAACTTAATATTATCAAAAAAATATTATAGAAAAAAACACGTGTATACATATAATATTAGACATTCATATTCTTGCTTTCTCATGATGCTAAAAAAAAATAAAACAAACATTAATATCTATACTAAAACATATTTTAAATTAAAATTGCAATTAGTGTGCACTTGTGATGTTCTTAAATTTGTGTGTATAAATATATATATATATATATACATAAATATACACTATATATATTACACACACACACACACATATATACAGTATGTATGTTTAATATACTGGTAACATTTATAAAAGGAATATATATATTAATATATTCCTTTTAGCATACTTTAGTTAACTATAAACGGTGCGTTCCATTTGACATTTACATAGCTTAAGAGCATTATTTGTTCTTGTTTAATACTTGATAAACAAGGATGAAATAATTCCCAGGGCATTGTGAGCGTCAAATGAAACGCAGTTAAAGAATAAATGAGTATACAAAACATTCATAAAAATAGCAAATCATGCAGCTAATTCAAATATATGTACATGATTTTGTTTAAGAATCTCTTGTTTTACCTATTGTTATTATTATTATTATAGGCAGTATATCATCTAATGATATGCATGTTATTGATGATGAAAAAAATGATAAGATCTTGAATGAATAGAAATTTGATCGTAATCGAAATAATATGATTGTAAAAATCGTGACTACAAATTTGTCTGTAAACAAAGTACGATGTTTTCTTATAAGATTAAGAGAATTTTATATTAAATTTTATATATATCTTGATGGCAATCTTTTAGAAATTTTGATAATACCATGCATATGAAGTGGATGTCTTAATTAATGGATTTTAGAAAAAATATAATTGTATTTATATATATATATATACACACATGCATAAAATGTGTATATATATATATATGTATTTATATATGTATATAGATAAATATAAGTTTATTCAATGTGTAATATCAATAATATCGAAAGGATTAAAGACAAACAAATTTGTTAAATGAGATCTGTGAAAACGAAAAATCAAATTTTTCCGCAAATGCTCCAACCTTGTAAGAGATCGCTAGGCGGACGGGATGCATCCATAACACCAGGAATCAGCGGAGACTCAGAATTCCTAGATGGAGGGCCTGTCTCAACAGGCACACACCTTTAGTTAGTGTGTTATTTATATTGTTGCATTTAACCAGAAAAAATACATACATGTGTACATACAAGCTATAATCGTTTAATTAGCGATAAAACTTTTTAACACGATATAATTTTATGCTTTCTGAAAAACAAATTTTTCCATAGAGAAATTTGATTCGATATATTCCATTCATCTTTTTTACATAATTTTATAACTTTTTTAATTATCACATTAAGAAATCTATGTATAGAGTAAGTATAATGTTAAAATAACTTGACTTTTTGGTCATTATTCAGCTATCTTTTAAAGAGCTCATTATATCATTAGTTGTAAATCTTTTGCATATTTGTAACAATCGTAATTATGTATAACCACCATGTATACCTGGAAATCAATCAATGAAAATGTCATTGCGTAATTTACCTGAAGAATAAGAACTGGAGGGAAGGTCAGTAGCCGGTGTTTGTGTGTTGACACTCCGAGTAGCCCGCAATAAGTCTGCTAGAGGGGCGCGATGTCCTTCGGGTGTAATTTGCTCGCGATATCGTGCATACTAAAGAAAAAAATTTCATATTTATCATCAAACTGTTATATAAAACAAAGACTAAAAAACAATTCACATTTTCTATTTTGCGAAAAATGTAGATTCGAAATTGTTGTATTATCTTACATTTTGTAGTAGTTAACGATATAAATGTATGTTTTCAATATTTAAAAATAATATTATTAATATAAGTATTCAAGATAAAAAAGACATCACATGTAGATATAATCATTCATCGCAAAAATAATTTTCAAGATGAAATACAATTTTAAATACATTTTTTTCAGAATAAGATTTCTATTTTTTTTTTTTTCAAAGAACAATCAATAACAAATTAAAATTCTTGTTCTATCTTAAAACATCGAATTCTACTAATAACACTATAAAATATACATTACCTTGTCTTCTACTGGGTGGTCTGCATCACTGTTATTGGCTGTATTTTTGAGCACAAGTCCTTCTATTTCTTGATTGAGTCCTTCGATAGACGAACGCATTGGAGGCCTTATTGGTTTTACTGGGATATTCATGGGACTTGCTTTTGTACTCAAGCTAAATTGATTGTCTACAAAGATAACATATATTACGTATTGTTTAAATGATCTTATAAACAGAACAAAGAGCTTTCGGAAAATTACTCACGCATGGATGTCTGTGAAGCAATACTGGGCAAAAGTACTGAATGATCACCAGGAAGTGCAGGTGGTGGGCCACCTGGCATTATTAGTCCAAATGCCGCCGTTCGCTCTCTACTGCTAGTACCTTCCTTATTTGTACGTTGTAATCTGCGATAAAAGTATATAAGAAACAGCGTGTAGCTTTTCCAATAAACATGCAGAAGATATAATATAAATAATAAAAATAATATAAACACATTTTTTAAATACTAAATCTTATAGGACCGTACATGTGAGAAACAGAACCAATGAGAAATTGCCTTTAATGGTCGAGCTTGGATCTTAGATGCTATTATAATTTTGTGTGAATTTATTTATTACATATATAATCTTTTAAATCGCGTGCCGAACAGTTTTTCAGTCTTGAAACGCTACTCTACAAAACTACCGCAATAATATAACGAGTTAAATTATCTATCAACTTAACAATTTCGATGCTCATAGCATCTTGGATCTTAACAATGTTGAATGACATATTAAAATCTATGAATGACATTAAAAATCTATAAATAATTAATTTATATTGCGAAAAATATAAACACATACCGATGCCTGAAGTAATTTTTCTCCAATTTCTCATCAGTGACAGTTTGTTCTGTAGGATGACGAGTATGCATTTTTCTTGGCTCATTGGAACATTCTTCCGTCTATAATAAAAGAAATACCCGTGAATCAAATGAAATAAATGCTAAATAAGTTTTATATAACGCAAACACGACACTACTTAAGTTTTTATATATAATTCTTAGAAAGAAACAAAATTTACTCACCTGAGTAGATTTATCTACCAAAAGACTGGAATGCATATAATAGGAGTCACGTGGCCATTGTCCTTTCAAATAGATAGTATCTAGAGATGCTGTCCGTCGAATGCTCTGGTTTCCACTTAAGCTATCGCTACAACGGCCACTCAATGTTTTTGATTTGGCTGAAAAATATTCAATAATATTATTATTATACATAATAATATTCAATTAAAGATATAGAAGAAGAAAATAATATAAAGAATTTTAGTCTGAAATTAGTAAACTGTAAGATTAAAGTGCAAAATATGTATACATGCACCAGACCGAACTATAAGCATGTTGTTTTCGGTTGCTGGAATAAGTAAAAAGTATTTGTTAAATAAAATAATAAGAAACATAAATATGAAAATAATAGTGTAACCGAACTAAAAATGTCTCTTCGGTTACTATAAAGTACAGAAATAAAAGTAAATTACTTATAGGCGCCTCAAAAAATAAAAAATTTCTTATTCTTCAAAACAACTGAAAAGTAAGTATAATTGTGACTAGCCAAAACACAATGTATGAATTGTATAAACAAAGTTACAAAAATGTAACATGTTATAACAAAGTAAATATACATTAACAAAAACAAAAATTAAATACTTACCAGGCAACATTTATAGCAAATGTGGAATAAATAATTCAACTGTATAAAAAGAAAAACATTTTCCGTCATTCTATAAATTTGGTTCAACAATAATAAAGAAATAAAAAACTTTCGCTACTGAGTCAAAGACGATGATAAATATAGCTTACAAATCATTTTCTTCTATTTTTTTTTTCTATTCTCTATTATAAATAACGAAAGGAAGAGAACCTTGTGTCAAAGTGTAAACAATTTGAGGATTGAGAAGTATTTCAATCAGACACATCTCCCACTTGCAGTAAAGACAGCTCTTCAACTTACATACCTTTGAACAGTGGTAACGCAAGACGGCCTATGAAAAAATGCTAATTGTTTAACAAATATCAAGTTTGCACAGAACACACACACAGGATTTACGTACCTTTCAACTGGACCAGAATCTCCAGGGATTACATGTCTTTTCAAGGACAAGTGACAGAGTACCGGTATAGTCCCTTCGAGCACCGGAGTCATCATTACTGAGGACAGATATTCCGTCCACGATAACGAGACTTCGGTGCTCGAGGGGTCACGCGCGCGGATACGTATTCCTCGAGCAGAACTCCACGAGCACAAAGAACAAGTCCACGGAACAAGGGGGAGCGGAGGGGGGGGGGG